AAGGCAACTTGCTGTTCCTTGGACGAATCTGTCTAAACCAGACGTGGCACTATCTCATTGAATTCGACTTTATCAGATTTTCGATTCTCCACAATGCAAAGCACTTGGTCAGCCGGCAAACCAAATATCTATTGCAAATCAATAAATGAGACATTATATTCTCTATGACATTTACTATTGAAGAAAATTAGACCGGCATGGTCGACTTTATAATAAATTTTTATAAAATTTGATTTAAATTAATTGGTTGATCTGATACTAATGATTAATTAAAAAAAAGTTAGAGACTATCGTAATGTCAAGAATCGTTTACGAAAAATAAAATATTCGAATTAAATTTAGTAAACTTTTAATATATAAAATGATATCTTAGAAGAATCTGATAAGTGAAGAGAGCTTATAAGGTCTGATATATATACACGCAATTGTAATTGGGAGGCTTGTAATAAGGGGATCATGGGTTGAGTAGAGTTTGAGTTTTGATTAATTTAAACTCAATTAAAATATAATACCTTTTTATTTATCATATGATTTGACTTAAATTTGTAAAATTTATATTCGAACCAAACCCATTTTTAGGATAACAACATGTACTCCATTCAACCTGATAATATATATATATATAATTTATATTTTATTAGATAAAATAAAGGCTAGATTGAAAATATAGAGAAAAGAATATTATAATAATTATTTTTAAATACATAAAATTTAATTGTACTATTGTTCTCGGGTCAAATTTGATATTTTTCATCATTAACACTAAATTTATATTAAAAAAAATCAATTCTATCTAGTTGGATCAAAACCATTAAATTTAGATTAAAACCCTCTTTTGTTCTCTTAGTTTTATTAAAATCCCCTAAATATATGTATATAAATACTACATGTATATGCATGACCCAATTACCTTCGTGGTTTAAGGAATTGTTGTTATTTCTAGAGGTTTTAAGTTTGAGTTGCAAGGTATTTGAGCGTTAATTGTTAAATGGTTGAAAGACTTTAGAACATATATCATCACTTGTAACCACTCTAAATTAACTCTGGTGCTCGAACTTGAAACTTATATATATAAAAATCATTCTTCTAACCACTGAAGTAACTACCGAAGTCAGTTTCATTCTATATATATATTTATACATACAACATTGAATACCACTTTATTTATCCTAAAATTTTGATCGGGAAATCATCACTTATTATCAAATTTTTATTTAATTATTGCTCCACCAAAATGGATAAAGTATCATTTCGTTTTGGTCCATTTTAATACTTAAACTTTTAACTTTTTCAAATTTATACCTAAAATTTAGTTGTTTCATTTTAGTATCTAGTCGTTAAAAACTTATCACATTTAGTACTTATATTGTCGGTTTTGGTATGTTTTATTGCCTAAACTTTTAAAAAAAATTCAAAACTTAACGTTAAATTTTGAACGATAGAAATAAAATGAAGGGTTAACTACACAAATGATCACATTTGTTTGTATTTTGTCATTTTTAGTCACTAATTTCAAAAAACATAAGATGTGACCACTTTCGTTTTTATTTAATTAAGATGATGTCACCCCGAGTTAACTGTCGTTAATACTAATTAAATATTTTGATATAATCACATATTTGGTCCCTGTTATTTACATATTCTCTCAATTTAATCCTAATTTGATATAAATCTTAAAAGTCGAATTATCATTTTTAGTCCCTTTATTATGCTTGATTTTGTGATTGTTGTTTTTTAAAAGGTAAATACATTCTTAAATAGTAAACTTTGACCATATTTTTGTTTTGATCATTGAGCTTTGAAAAGTTAAAATTATAGTACTAAAGTTTTCTAATTCATTTTTAGTCATCAACCCTTAATATCTTAACACGGTTTATGATATGATTTTTTTTCTTTTGTAAAAAGATCTTTTAAATCCTTTCAATTATCATCTACCAACGTACGTGACATATATGGTACAACAATGTTTACCTTTTATTCCCCATTTTCTTCTCAATAATTTTGTTTTTCTCGAAATTCATTTAAAATCAATGAAAATCAAGTTATGATGTTAATTTCTAATGCTCAGATCTCTGTCGATAATGGCCCGATGAAGTTAGTTTCATATATATTATTTTTCTTTATTGAAAGCATGTTTCTTACTATTTAAATTTTTGATTGACCACGTCCAAAACCATTAAATCCAACAAAGTTTTTACCCCTTTAAGAAAGAAAGAGATAAGTGTTAAAGTTTTGTGAAATTTATAATATTTTGACAAAATTAAATTGATAAACGATAATAAAACAAATTTATAAGTGTTAGAGTGACCAAAGATATAAGAGAGTGTGATAAAATGATAGTTGATAAACAATATAATTAGACTTGCTTTATCATATACATCAGTCGAATAAATCTTATAGTTAACAAACTAACATAATAGATTTGAAAGTAAGACTAAATTGAGATAACATGTAAATAACAGGGACCAAATGTGTGATTATATCAAAATATTTAACTGATGTTAGTGATAGTTAACTCAGAGTGACCATATATTAATTAAATAAAAACGAAAGTGACATTGTCTTGTGTTTTTTTTAAAATCAATAACCAAAAGTGGACAAAACACAAACAAAAGTAATCATCTGTATAATTAACCTTAAAATAAATCAAAAAAAAAAGTTTTCTACGACATATACTTAAATAAAACAAAAATTAAATTTTAAGTATAGTTCTAAACTAAATTTAGATATTAAAATATATCAAAAATAATAATTTAGATATTAAATACACAATTTACTTAAATATTTAATGTATTCATTTAATTCCATTTATAAGATTTAGTGGCTTAAAATAACGACTTTGCATCACTCCACTTAATGTTTGGATAGACTCGACAGGAAATAATATAATACTGAAGAGATATTTAGTTGATTCGAGTATTATATCCTTTATTCATTATATAATCTTCTATAAATTTAAAAAGGTTTTATTTTACTTAAACCTAAACTCGACACACTTTATCATCTAGAAAATTCGGTTCGAACGCAATACAAAAAACCAAAAACTTTATTGACGGTAGTTGATTCAAGTGGTAAACAATTTAATATAAGTAATGTCTCGAGTTCAAGTCTTTGTGTATGCATAAAATTTTCGTTGAGAAACTGACACACAAAATTTGATGTACGGCGTAGATCAGTCCAAATTAATCGAGATAAAATCTTAAAAAAAAAACCCAAAAACTTCATCTTATAAAATTAAATCGTATCAAAATTCATCAAATCAAGATCTCATCCAACCCTCCCTAAAACTTAAATTGAATCTTTGGATAACATGTACCTCATTCAATAGGGGTACAAACATCGAGTTACATCGATCCCATCTGAAACCCTTCAATATGATAAATAATCTAGTTAATTATTACATATATTAAATATCCCATATATATATATATATGAACATAATTCGCTTACATTATATAAACTTAATAAGTTTTAACTAATTTATAAATATTAAATATAAATAATGAATTATTTAGATTAAATAAATATCAAATATAAAAAACTCTAAATTCACAAACCCTAAAATCCTTATTAAAACTTAAATTCCAAACCTTAAATCCCAAACCACGTATCATAAAGCTTAAATCTTAAACCATAAATACTAAACTCTAATCCTAAAAAAATCTTATTTTACTCCGAGTAAAAATATTTATTCATGAGTTATAAATGTTAATTAAATCTAAATCGTTTATTTATTTAAATTTAATTGCTATCAAATAGTGTAAAATTTATTAGTTTTACATAGTGTAAGTGTATCATAATGCATACATATAGTTTATATATATATATATATATATATATAGAGAAATTATGTCGAATATGTATATTATTTTTTAAAATTATTTTTAAATTTTACTAAAATTTAAAAAATATATATATTTGAATATTAATAGTATGGTTTAAAATTTGGGTCACTGATAAAAATATAATTTAATATAAAATCATGTAATATTTTACATCAATTAGGTATTTTACAAAATAATCATTTTATTTGGGGTTTTAAACATATTCATGCTTATTTATAAAAATCAAAATGTACTTTATGGAGAACAAGAATGACCAGTATGGTATTTACCCAAAATAAATTACTTGCGGTTATTTTTTATATAGAAATAAGCTAGTTTTATTAAAAATGGAAAATATATAGAATTATAATAAAGATTTACAAATATAACCGTAAACATAAACTAAATTATAGTTATAATATTCTCCTATAATCATTTACACAAAAAATAGCCACTTAGATCACACAAAGATAAAAAAAGATTAAAAAATCTAACTAATTAATGCTCGAACAAAATAAAGATACGAGCAAATCTGATTGCATAGGCAAACGAATCACAAAAGGGGATGAAGCTACTGAAGACCACCGACCAATCGCAAATCAGAGTCAAGCGACGTGAGAAAACTATCTACGAATGCAAAATGCGTATCCAAATCAATCTGAAGGTCTAAAGTAGAGAAAATCAACATAATAACAAATAAGCATCATCTTGATCAGTCATGACGATGTCAAATCCAACCCTAAGAAAAAAAATAAACGAAAACAACGGCAAAAAATCGTAAACTATCAAAAGGCAGCGAAAAACGTGTTACAAATGCAGATAACATATCACAAAGACACAAGTATTCTTATTAAAAAATAAAAAAAATAAAAAAGACAACCGACGAGCGATAATCAGTATCAAAATCGGTGTTGTCATCGGTTAAACAAAATTAAAGAATAAAAAGTTGTATTAATCAATAAAATTAATATAAGGTATAAAGAAAAAGAGATTATTGGCTCTTCCAGTAAAACGGAGATTGTGGTTGAAGCTCCCAGGAAAGCCCGAGTGGCTTCTATGGGTGTGGCAATGTTGCTCAATGAGATCAAATCTAAGAAAAAAGACCATCTTGAGAAAGCTAGGTGTACGGTAGGTATTCCAAGCACTGGCAGTAGTGCTCAACCTCCTCCATCTTGAATGTTGGTTGCCTTTTGGAATGTTAGGGGGATTAATAGCCCCCTTAAGCAGTTGAAGGTGATTAGAAGATTTGATGCTTGTGGCGTGGATGTTTTTTGTGTGATGGAATCTCGCATTAAAAGAGTTAATTCTGGTAGGTTTTCTAATGCATTGACTGGTGACTGGAATTATGCTGAGAACTATGAGTTTGATGAGGGAGGTAGGCTTTGGATCTTTTGGAGGAAGCATTTGTTGTTCAATGTTTTGAGTTGTTGTGACCAGGCAATAACTATCATTGGGGTTGTTGATGGGCACAGGACAACCATTACTGCTGTCTATGGTAGTAACAATGGTGTTGTTAGAAGGGGCCTTTGGGATTATCTTAGTGTTGTTGATAGGGACATTGGTCCTTCCTCCTGGCTGGTGGGTGGGGACTTTAATATTATTGCCAAAGTTGAGGAGAGTTCTGACTGCACCCCTGATATGAAGGATTTCCAGGAGTGTTTGGAGAGCCTTGACCTTATTGATAATCCTTTTCTTGGGCCTTTATTCACCTGGTCCAACAAGCAGGATGGCTCTTTCTTAGCCCGCAAGCTTGACAGAATTTTAGTAAATGATCAATGGTATTGGATTTCCCGGACTCTTTTGTATAGTATAAAGCCCAGGGGTCTCTGATCACTGTTTAGGCTTATTGTGGTCACACAAGGCAGCAATGACCAAGCACCCTAAGCCTTTCAAGTTCTTCGACTGTTGGACTGGCCATGATAGATTCCTGGCTATTGTTAGAGACTCCTGGCAGAGACAATGTGTGGTTCTGCTATGTGTTGTTTTTTCAGTAAGCTGAGGAGGCTCAAGCCATTACTTAAGGAACTTAACAATGAATCTTTCTCTGACATCTCTGGTAGAGTCAAAGCTAAAAGGGCTGAATTGGAACATATCCAAATTTTTAATCTGGCTCACACAGCTCAAAGAAGGATTGATGAAGAGAGTAGGGTTCACTATGAACTTGTGAATTTGGAAATTGTTGAAGCTGACTTCTATAAACAGAAAGCTAAAACACACTGGCTTAGAGAGGGGGATTTGAATACAAAATTTTTTATCAGAAGGTTCAGGCTAACAAAAAAAGAAACACTATCAGAGTTATAAAAAGTGAGGATGGAAAGTTGTTTTATTCTTTTAAAAATATGGCTGCTGAGTTAGTGGACTTTTTTACTAACCTCATTGGCTCTCCTGACCCCTCAGTAAAGGCTGCTCTGCTAAAAGTCTGAAGAGCTTGATTAATGTTTGTTTGCCTGAAGGTGCAGATATATGTCTTACTAAGGAGGTGAGTGATGTGGAGATCAAAGAGGTTTTCTTCAGACAAGGGAATGATAAGAGCCCAGGTCCTGATGGCTACACTGCTGGCTTCTTCAAAGCTGCCTGGAGCATTGTTGGCAGTGATTTTACTTCTGCTGTGAGGTATTTCTTCCATACTTCCTGCTTACTGCCTGCCTTCAATTCCACAGCCTAGTTTTGGTCCCTAAATCCCCTAATACTACCTTAGCTAAGGAATTTAGACCTATTTCTTGATGCTCAGTTGTATATAAAACTATCACCAGAATTCTTGTTGATAGACTTACTCCTTATTTTCCTGGCATGATTTCATGCAATCAATCAGCTTTTGTCAAGGGTAGAAACATAGTTGACAATACCCTGTTAACTCAGGAAATAGTGAAGGGTTATTCTAGGAAGAATATTTCTCCTAGATGTACTGTAAAAATTGACTTGCAAAAGGCTTTTGATTCTGTTAATTGGGATTTCTTGTTGTCTGTTCTTGAGGCAATGAGGCTGCCTGATGTGTTTTATAATTGGATCAAGGCTTGTATTACTACCCCTATGTACTCTGTTTGCTTGAATGGTAGTTTAGTGGGGTATTTTAAAGGGGCTAGGGGGATTAGACAAGGGGATCCTCTATCCCCTTATCTTTTTGTTATTGTAATGAATGTCATGTCCTCCCTGTTGAATGTTGCTCCCAAGAGAGGAATTTTTAGATTCTATCCTAAGTGCAAGAGAGTCTCTCTCACTCACATTTGCTTCGCGGATGATCTGTTAGTCTTTTGCCATGGTTCCCTTGAGTCTGTGTTGGGAGTGCAGAGCACTTTAGAGGTTTTCTATTAATTGTCAGGATTAAAGCTAAATCCATTGAAGACAGAATTTTTTGCATGTGGCTTAAACATAAACACCCTTGATCTAATCCATCAAGCTACTGGATTTAAGATTGCGCAGCTCCCTGTCAGGTATCTTGGAGTACCCCTTGTTACTCGTAAACTCACAGGGAATGACTGCTCTGCTATTTTGGAACGTATTAAAGGCAAACTAGCTCACTAGTCTAGCAAAAAGCTCAGCTTTGGGGCAGGCTGCAGTTGGTGAAAACTGTCCTGTTCAGTATTTTTAATTTCTGGAGCAGGCAGCTTGTTCTCCCCAAGGGGATCATAAATGATGTCGAGAGGCTCTGCATGCGGTTTTTCTGGAAAGGTTGTGATTCCCCTGCCAGAGGTGCTCGTGTAAGTTGGAGCCAGGTCTGCTCACCTAGGTCTGAGGGGGGTCTGGGTCTAAGAAGTCTTGTTCTTTGGAGTAAGGCTTGCTGCTTATTAAAAAAATATTGCTAATGATGGCTCACTCTGGATTGCATGGTTACATGCATACTGTCTTAAAGCTGTAAGCTTCTGAGAAGTTGAGTATAAAGCCTACTTCAGCTGGATTTTGAAAAAGCTGTTGAAGCTTCGTGAGGAGGCTAGGAATTTGTTTATTCCTTGTGCTAATTGGAACCTGATCAAGGGTAAATGGCTTTGGGACCAGATTAGAGTCCGTGCAGAGAAAGTTAGTTGGCACAGGATCATTTGGTTTCCTGCTCATATTCCAAAATTATCCCTTATTGCTTGGATGGCCACCCTTGATAGACTGCCTACGAGGGATAGGCTGGTTCGATTCGGTTTGGTCTTGGATAATGGATGTGTCCTGTGTGGGTCTGGGATCGAGTCCCGTGACCATCTCTTTGCTGATTGCTCCTTTGCTCAAGAAGTTTGGAATGTTGTGCAGGTCTCCTGTGGGATTTGTCCTGCTTTGCTTAAATGGAATGATCGCCTTCAATGGTTGATTGTTAACTTGAAGGGTAAATCTCTCAGGGTAAGGATTCTAAAGCTCTGCTGGACTGGTTTTTTGTACCACATTTGGGAGGAACGTAACCACAGAAGCTTCAGGGGTGTTTCTCGTTCTGTTGATATGATTGTAAGTAGTATTAAAGATGATGTTAAAACCAAATTGTATAGCTATAGTATATAGGGGATTGATGATGTAAGTAGGCAAGTGGGTATAAATTGGGGGTTAATCTAGTGTTGGATTTTGCCTTGTCTTTGTATTGCATTATTTTGGATGAATATAATTTACTTATCCAAAAAAAAAAAGCGAAGAGAAGAGAAGAGAGAGAATGAGGAAGAAATCGGATAGAGTTTTTTTTTTTATGTAATAGTTAATTAATTGAGTGATTAAAAACTATGATATCTCACGATAATAATAACTTTGTTCCAAAGCAATTGAATCAAATAATAACAAAATGCGTATAGAAACAATAAAATTTATGTAACGTAAAACTATAATAAAAATACGTAAATAAATTAAAAATATATATGAGATAATACGTTAAAATGTTCAATATCTCTACAAAAATATATTATATACCAATTTTATAGATAAAATAATAATGTTAAAATTGTTTTACTTCGATTTAGAAATTCAGTTGTATTTTAAATATAATAAAAAATTTATATAATTATTTATTTTTAAGATTCTTAAATTCAGTATATACATACATGGATGGATCGAAGGGGCGGGTGGGGACAGTCGCTCTCTGAAAGTTTAAAATTATCTTATATTTTAGATTTTTTCTATGTATTTTTTATTGAAAATTGTTTTTGCCCTAACTCTCCCCCAACATAAAATCATGCGTCCGTCCTTATATACATTTGTGTACAATATTCAATAAACTATAAAAATAGTCACCAAATATTTTTTAAACTCTCCTACCATCTCAAAATATCATTATGATAATGTTTAGAGTTAAATCTAATATATTTGTTTTGACTACTCTCATCCTGATAATTTATATGGATAAATGATCGAGATTTTGAAGAGGCATAACGATACAATTACTCTCAAAGTTTGATAAATGGAGACTTCATCTTTTTTTATCATATTATTTTTTAACACTTCAACTTTTGATCAAAACAAACCTTATTGGATAAAAACCGTTAGTTGACTGATGATTAATGCATGTTACTGACGTATAATTTTCAAATGTGATCAATTGATGATGTGTCATGTGTCATGCTACAAAAAATGATTACATGACATGTTCCATGTCATCTAAAGTGATGATATGACATGTGCTTTGTCACCCAAAATGATGATATGACACATACCACGTTAATAATAACCAAACACGTGGAAATTCTACATCAACAACATGTGTTGAAAGTTAGTCAACTAACGATTTTCATTTAATGGGGTCTGTTTTGACTAAAAATTGAAATGTTGGAAGGTAAAATGTGTTGGATTAAAATCCATAATTATGTCCACATATTTATAATACATATTGTTATAATAAAATATGACATAAATTAAGTGACTAATTTTGTTATAAAGTAATAAAGTATTAGAAGTGTCATGAAAATAAAAGTGTAGGTACTATTGAAGTTGTATTTATAACTTGATGAGGGGCAGAGTTACAAGTATAGACAATAACTGATTCTTAAATCAGTTATATAAAGGGTTATGGTCTCCAAGAAATAGACATTCGCATATTTATCTTATCCCGTCAGAGAGTTTATACTTAAGGGAACTCTATCTTCTTGGAAGATCATAACTAAAGAAAAATTCAAGGAATTCAACCTATCAATTAATTCAGGTACGCTTCCGCTAATATAATATTTATTTTATTCTTACTAGTTTGACATGATTAGATCTTGGTTGTTTTCATATTTATTTATGATTTAAAGAATTACAAGTGATATCGTCGTCTTGTCATGTTGAATCATTGAGAACCAATTGATTTGTATTATATATGTGTTTTGGGTTATTAGAAGACCCTAATGGTGTGCATTGTATTTATTGCGAATTGGTGATTATAAAGGAATAATGGTTGTTGCTCATTCTTTGTAATCTGTCTAATTTTCAGACTGTACTATTAATTTATTATTTTAAGTTAATTATTGATTAAATTTGGTTTCATTGATTATGATTCCGTAAAGTACACTATGCATATTTGTATTAATTATTGATTGCATGATTAAGAAATTTTGTTACAGTTATATACTATTTGTTTTAATTTTTATGGGAAATAAATTTAAATTTCAATTTAGTATTTGGTTAATCATGTACTTCGGTTTAATTTGGTGAATCCATTCTTGAGAAATAGTCAAAGATTGAGGTTTTTGATTTCTAATAACATCGCTTACACAACTTTATTATGAGTTACTTCGGAAATCATCATGTGATTAGAAAATTCAGTTTTTATTTCCAACAAGTTATGATTTATGGAATATATATTTAGTATATTTGATTCAGTTTGATAAAAGATTTAATTCACTAGTATGTATTTGACCCTTACTTTTGGTTATATTGATTTGAATTCGGTTTATTTTTTAGTGATTTATGAAGTTATGAACTAAATGCATGCTTAGGGAATTATTCAGAAACAATCAAAGACTGAGTTTCCGATTTTTGATAGCACCATTTATGCAACCTTATTTTGGGTTATTTTGGATATTGTAGTGCAATAAAAAAATTCAGTTTTTGACCTTTGATTGTTTTTTTTGTACATAAAAGTTTAGGTCAGGGGTGGCTCCCCCAATCCAGGGCCAGAGCATACCTAAGACATAATTGAGATTTACATAGGACTTTATAGATTGTTTACCAAGAATGATGGTGGTGAGATTCGAACTTGGCCTTACAAGCTCAAATTTCTAATCCCAATCACTTGTGCCAACACTCATTGGTTGACATTTGATTGTTATAGAAATATTAAATTTGAATACTAATTTTGAGACGACTTAATTAAAGTAATAAATCGTTAAAGTGGTTTTATGCGTACAACTTTAGTAATGTGCATAATCATGTGTACAACTTTGGTAATAAGCATGTGATAATTATTCGGTCTTTATGTATAAGTAATAAATCGACCCAAAGGAGGATTTTTTTCATGACATGTTCTTATTATCAATGTTTGGTTACCGCCTCAGATATTAATTAAGATAAATATTTTGTCTAAAGACGAAATATTAATGAAGTATTTGATATTTTGTGATAAAGTTTAAGTGTATTCAAATTTATTATTATTTTGGTTATCTTTTAATTTAATTAAAAGATAAATTAAGAGAAATTGATTGGTTGACAATATTTATGTGGTTTTATTTATATTGTTAGTGTAATGTATGTATATATTCAATTCGGTCTTTCAGTTTTGATTGTTGGTTACTAGAATATATATATATTTTGAAATAAATTAATTCATATTATAGTTATGTCTGATATTTTGATAGATTAGTTGAAACATAATGTCGCCAAAGTGATCGCTTTTGTGTATGCTAATTTATTTAGAATTTCAAGATGATTATGTGATTTTTGTTATTCATGCATTTATTAATGGACCCAAAGTAAAGTTAGTATTTGGCCGAATTTCAAGCGACACATGTGGTAATAACATGTGACAATTGTAAGGTATTTTATGTGAGCATTACATTAGGCCAAAGATTAATCTTTTGTTCGACATAGCTTATTGTCAATGTTTGATTACTATAACAAGAATATCGTTTACAGTTAATATTATTGTCCAAAGACTTGATATTGATGTAATGTTTGGTATCTTAAGATGAGAATTAGTCATAATTTTGAATTTATTTGTTTACTTAAGATGAGAGCTTCAATTTTAGTTATGTTTTATTATGTAATAAACTAATTATTTATTGCTACAATAATATTTGTTATTATACGTTTTCTGTTTATGCTTAATAAAACGAATCTCAAGGAATGAGAAAATGCACTTACTTAAGGTTTTGATTGTATGAACATAAACTTTGCACTAAGGAAAGAACAATTTCCACCCCTCATGGGGATAACATCCTTAATTGGTATAAGAGATTTTAAGAGGTAAAATTTGTTCAAATTGCATAAAAAAATTGTGTCTAATGATACAAAATTAATGATATGCAAATCAAGGAAATCCATTTATGAGTTTAAGTATGATTCCTGTTAATTGTATAACAAATTTCACTAAGTGATAATCTCGTTTGATTTTGAGATAAATTTAGTTGATAATTTAAAACAAATAATACCCCTTATTGCTAAAGAAAACAAGTTTAATCTTAATCAATGCCTTAAGGATGATTTTGAAACTAAGGACAAAAATGTTACATGCTCACATATCAGAGGTCTAGTTAGTAGAAGATCATCAGATTTATGGACTCAGATTTATTAAAATATAAATGGAAAATTTTGTCACATGAAATGCTAATTATGAATTAATAAGAAAAACCACTTGAGTTATTTTGTGACAATAAGTTGCAGTCCTTTATTATATATATAACATAAACACCTTAAAGTCTAAGCACATAGACATTATATTTCTGGTTGTTAAAGAAAATTCAGAGTGCTTATGTGTTTATAGGGTATATTGGTATAAACTCATAATTACGCGCTTACTAAGGAATTGTCACCCAAGGTCTTTTATGAGTACATTACTCATGTGGATGTAATATCACTTAAGGATATTCAGTTTTAGTGGGAGTTTGTAACTTCAAAAATGCTTGTTTGTTTTAAAAGCAATTTTAGTTACTTCAGTTTAAGAATATTTATTTTAAGGTTATTTTTTTGTAGAAATAAAGTTTGTTTTGGTTTATCCATACTCTAGTTTTGGTAAAATTTGATCTGACTAATGTTTAAAGAGGACCAGTTGGGAATAGACATGTGCAGTTAACATTGCATGCAATTTCCATCCTACACTCCATGATTGATTTATGTTATTTGACTATGTTTGTATACGTGACCATTGATGGGTCTAGTCAAGATTGATATGAAAAATGTTGCTTTGATCCTATATGGATATAGTTGATGGACGAGATTGTTATAGAATACCTATTATATGATAACAAGTTTTGAACTCATAAGGTTATATATTTCTCATGAAACATATGTTGCCCAAGTGGAAGATTGTTGGATTAAAATCCATAATTATAGAACATATTTATAAAGCATATTGTTATCATAAAATATGACATAAATTAAGTGAT